TAGGTGGTATAGAAAAAGGGAAATATATTAGTTCCAAAGCTTGTTGAAAAACGCACATCTAATATCTGTACATAAGTGCATCTGTATAGCTAAAGGCTACATAACAAGAAACATAGTGACAGGAGAAATCTCCCTTTGGGATGTTGGCCAGGATAGTCCAAGAGACTTCCAAAATAACACAGGCTATTGCTACAGCCCTTGACTGCCTGCCAGAACTTGAACACCCTATGCTAAAGACAAGACATACTTCCAACACAGGACTTGGAGCAATCGAGTTGGAACAGACCTGGAAGCCTCCTCCCTGAAGATTAGCTCTCATAGTTCTGGAGGATACTATGCAAGCTACCAAGGGAGAAAATTAATCAATGGTCCAATCCCAGCTTTAAAGCCTAATAACCGCAACAATGACCAGCACAGCAAACTATCTCTATTGGTGCAGTAGTGGTGCTTTTATCTTGGGGGTATCTAATTAGACTTAAAGCCTGCTCAATGGGAGGGAACTCATGTGTTCTGGAGCAATCAGATCCTAGAGAAAACCCTACATCTGTCACATCCCTAGAAAAATATAATTTCTTACTATATGCTAAATATGGGTCCTTATATTTATAGACAAGTACACCTGTCATCACTCAACAAAGAATCTTCTTTTTGCAACAGATGGAGACTATTACAGAGTTCCACAGTTGATCAAACACAGAGAATAAGTATCTGTGAGATACCCAGTCCTAAGTGACACATTTACAATGGAACCTCTACACCTAAGGCTTATGGAACATAGCGGAACAGGGGCTAGAGAAAATACTAATGCATCTCTCAACTCTCACCAGTGAAGCTTCCTCACTCAACAGAAGGTGATCAACACAGAAAGTCACAACTGGCCAAAAGGCAGAGAATAAGAGACTGCAGAGTGTGTGTCCCTGGATCAGACTCTCACATTAAACATTACCCACCCAGGGCTCAGGGACCACTGCAGAAGAGGGGGCAGAAAGACTGTAAGAGCCAGGGGTGGTGGATGACCCCAAGGAAAGAGAGTTTTCCAAGTTTCTGAGAACTTGCTCATATGAACTTACAGCAATGGTGACAACATGCAAAAGACCCATGGAAACTCAAACCAGACAAAAGCCAGCATAGATCTGGGGATATGACAAAGAAGCCACAATCTTAGTGGAGGAACTAGTGGCAGATGATCACTGCTGGGTAAGGGAGAGTTGGTCTTCTTTAAGGGAGTGACACTAGATAAGCCGACCAGGCTCCAGCTTAGACAGCTCCCTTAGCGTAAAGGGCTCTCCCAAAGCAGATGGCAGCCCACCATCCAGCTTCATGTCTGGCTGCTTCTCTTAGAAACCATAAACTCTAATAAGGGTCATACACTGTTCTCTCCACACTTTGCTGACAAAACAACAAAAAAAAATTGTGAGACAGAAAGAACAGTCTGCCTAGAATATAGAAAGTCTGCTAACAGTCTGCCTAGAATATAGAAAGGGCTCAGCTGGGACTGGTGGCTCATGTCTGTAACTGCACCTGGGAGGCCAAGGCAGAAAGACTTCAAGTTTGAGGCCAGCCCGGTGGACTACAGAGCAAGTTTCAGGCTGGCTCCTGTCAGGACCCTGTTTTGAAAAAACCTAAAATTTAGAAACAATAGGAAAAAAAAATTTTTTTTAAGTCTCAGCCAATATTTTGCTCTAAAATGTTAGCACTCACAATCCTACCTCCCTTCCAAGACTATGGGCAACTGGGGCTATTCAGAAAGAAGGCCCAATTGCATTTACACAATTTTCAGTCATTTGTACCCAAACCTTGGTTAATGTGATTGCTTTGTTGTTGTTGTTACTGCTGTTTTGTTTTTTTTTTTGAGATGGGATCATGTCGTGTAGCCCAGGCTGAACTTGAACTTGCAGTGACCCTTTTGTCTCAGCCAACAAGTACTAGGATTATAAGCCTCAGCCCCCATACCAAGCTAGTCACTGAGATTTTTTTCTAAAATTCTTCCCTTAACTGCCACGAGGTTAAATACTTGTTCATTACATGAAGATCTGTTTAGCCTAAAAGAAAACAGGTAGTGAAATCAAAAGAGAGCCTAAATTACATAAAATACCAAAATCCATCTTTGTTTAATAATCTAATGAACATACAAATATTGCAAATAAAATTCATAATTCTCTACTTCCTGAGGCACTGGGTGAACAGCATTTCAGGACCCATAAACTTGGTATAGTTCCAGTTTACAAAATGGCTGAGTCAGGACTGGCATTAAAGTAACATAAAGGCATAAAAATAAAATTAAGGACATGCTCATCTTGACCTGGTGGTGCAGATCTATAATTCTAGCTACTTGGGAGGTTGGGGAAGGAAGATCACAGGTTCAAGTCCTGCCTGAACTATAGAGCAAATTCAATCAAGATCAGTCTTACTTAGTAAGACCCTACCTCCAAACAAAAAAGGGAAAAAAACTAAAAGACTAAATATATAGCTCATTGATAGAGCAACTGCTTAACACACATGAGATGCTGAGTACTGCCAAACTACAGATAGACAGACAGACAGACAGACAGACAGATGATAGATCCTTCCCTTCCTCCCATTCTTTTCCTTTACCCCCATTTCCTTCTTTTGTTTAAGTCAATATTTCATTCACATTATATGGTACTAAATAAAACTTCAAATAAGAAAAGAAATTGATAAAACAGAAATATGAATGCTAAATGACTCCACCCCCACAACAAAAGAAAAAGACAGAAAATCAGCCTGTAAACCAGACCCTACTGATCAAATATTCCTTTTATTTAGAAAAGGGAACAGTTTTAAATTATTTTTTATTATATTTATTTGTGTGTGTGTGTGTGTGTGTGTGTGTGTGTGTGTGTGTGTGTACCCAACACAGCAAAGCATGGGGGGGGTCAGAGGACAACTTGCCAAAATTGGTTCTCTCCTGCCATGTGGGTGGGTCGTGGGGATCAAACTCAGGTTGTAAGACTTAGCCTTTGCCAACTGAGCCATCTTGCTGACCTCCATTTTTACAATTTTTCTATTTTAATTTACAATTAAATTGGGCTCTACCACGCTGGCCTTGAACTCACAGAGATCCACCTGCCTCTGCCTCCCCAGTACTGGGATTAAAGGTGTGCACTACCCCACCATGCCTGGCCCATTTCCATGAAATCTTAATATCCCAAACTGGGTAAATTTTGCATACAGGAAGCAGTATTAGCACAGAATAGCAAAATGAGCTTGGGGTAAGATACAAGTCCAAAGATAGCCTTTACTTGAACTCACAAATTCCACCACTCACTACACATAACCTGCAATTTTCTATTCATTCTTTTTTGCTTGTTTGCCTGTTTGTTTGTTTTGATACAGGGTCTGCCTGTAGCCCCAGGAACCTGCTATGTAGACCAGGTTGGCCTCAATCTCAAAGAGATCCTCCTGCCTCTGCCTCTGGAGTACTGAGACTAAAGGCATGTGCCACCACACCCAGCAATTTTGGGTTCATAATCCCCAAAATGAGGATAATGATTATTAATTGAATAAATGTATGTAGAAAGCACTTAGTATATTGTATGACAGAGTAAGCATTCAATATAACATCTATGTTGTTGCAATGATGTTCCTTAAATCTCAAATTAATTTTCATAAATTATGGTACCTGTACAGAATAGAATACTATTTTAACTGAAACATGAGGCGTTTTGTTTGTAGAGTCGCTATCATTAAGCTAAATCTTCAGCTCTATTGACCACTCTAAAAATAAAATAAAATATATTATAATCCACAGCTTACACTACCAAAATATTTGATTATACACTAGGTAGATTAAGCTGATCTTTGTAGAAAAGTCTAAGGTTAGTAGACTAATAGTTCTAGTATTAATTTCATTGTACTGACAGTAATGATCAAAGACTTATATTTTCAGTCAGTGAGAGTCAATTTGTTAAAAAAAAAACAATTAAGCCTGGAGTGGTGGGGCACGCTTTAGTCCCAGCACTCCAGAGACAAAGTCCAGCCTGGTCTACATAGCAAGTTCCAGCCCAGCTGGGGCTACAGGGAAACCCTATCTCAAAACTCTCTCTCTTCGGTCACAATTCCATATATATATATATATATATATATATATATCGATTTATTAAGGTATTTAGGGAGGTACTCGAGGTGAGAACTGGGAGAGCTTAACTGTAAATGAGGGAGAGCAAGTGTACCCATCATTCATTCAAAAATCGTATCTGCCCATTAGGTATCAATCACTGCCGTAAATGCTGAGGAAATGAAGGAAAGATTCTTGTCTTTGAGTAACCTGCAGCCTAACTAAAGAATATAAAGAGGGTAATAAAACAGCACTTCTAGGAGACTGGGGTTGAAGGATTTCAAGTTCCAAGCCAGCCTGCACAGCGAGACAAACAACAAATCAGCACCCCGTGACCTTAATTGATCAAAATATTATTCACTCATTCATGAGCACACAACAGGTGAATGAATGAAAAGAAAGCCCAGTGACAAAAAAGAAAAAGGAAAAAGAAACACCATTGGTGCTTCCAGGAATTTGAACGGATTCCTCAGAAACTGCTTCTAGACCTGCATTCCCAGAATCCAGAGAGCGAGGGCGACACGGGTGAGGGGGCTCGCAAGGGTCCGAGGCGAGGCTTTTACTCTCCTTGCCACCCATAAGATCCAGGGTGGTGCAGGTGGGAGGGTCCCCAGACACGAATCTCATACTTGTATCCCCCATCTCGCCAAGTCCTGCACTCGCACACGTGGGTCTTTACTGTCTGGGAACCAACGACACAAGGTTCTGTTATGGCTTTGAGGTCTGAACCTCAAATGCTAGTTACGCTGCACTGCTGCCTGGGGTGCTTAGGGCTCCTTCATGGCCACGTAATAAAAAGGTCAGGAGACGCGAACTCTTCTCCAGGGACCCTCAGCTCAGGAAACCTGTGAAGCCAGGGGGGTGGCTGGAAGTGATCGGGGAGTGAGGCGACCCCCGGGCCGCTCGAGGACTAATCACTGACCTTTCCAGAGGGGCTTCCCAGGGCCAGGGGCCGGAGGTAGGATTGCGACGGCCCGCGCCCTGCACTCAACACATCGCCCTGTCAGCCGGCTCCCCACCGCCAAGCGCAGGGTAACCAAGGGCGACCAGGAGGCCGCCATCTTGAGCTCCATACAGAGAGGAAAACTTTATTGAAAACCACAAGACACGGCGGAACAGCCGCGCTACAAGAGGCTCCGCATGAGAACCAGGCAACATAGAAGGAAGGTGACCTCCACCGCAGAGAGGCGGGTACATAGTGCCCTTCATGCCTTCCGGGGCCCAAGAAACTACGACTCCCGACATGCAGCGCGGTGCGCTGGGCGGAGCTCGATGGACAGGGGCGGGTGGCCACGCCCCACTGCGAGCCAGACCGTGCCAATTCTCCGCCCTGAGGGTCAAAGAGGAAACTGGACTTCTCTTTAGGCCCTCAAGTCACCATATACAATCCTGAACTTTGTAAGCGTGCATGTAGGTGGGCCGGTGAGTCGTTACTTCGGTCACTCCGATATGGTAGCCTCACTTGTTTTGCTTCCAGTGGCCACCTTATCTCTGGTCTTGCCGCTTAGAATTTTAGCATTTGAGTAACAATTTTCAAAATGGCGCGTGCTCACATGCTTTGAACGCCAATGGCCCAAGATGGGCAATTAGTGTTTGTAGTAGTCATGGATGGTGCATCTAAAGGGGACCGTCTAAGTGATCTGCCTGCATTTGAGGCTGGCGACTGGATGAAAACTACGACAAAGAAATGAGACAAATAGTGGGATCATGGAGGGGGCACTATGGCAGGGAAGTCAGGAGAACCCTCTGGGAAGATTTAACTTGTTTTTAAAAAAAGATTTTATATTGGGGGAGGCACATACAATAGTGAGCAATGGATACCCCTGGAGCTGGAGTTACTGGCAGTTGTGAGTCACCATATTTGAGTGCTGGGAACTGAACTCAGGTCCTCTATAAGAGCGGTAAGCCCTCTTGGCTATGGAATGATCTCTCCAGCTCCTACAAAATTAACCTTTAACAAGAGCTAAGAACTTTTTCAGGGGTTGCAGATGTAGCTCAGTTGGTAGAGTGCTTGCCTAGCATGCATGAAACCCCGATTTCATACCCAAAACCAGTTTGGGAGAATAGCACAGGCCTGCATTCCTAGAACTTAGGAGGTGGAAATAGGATTAGAAGTTCAGCTACATAGTGAGTTCTGGGCCAGCATGGGCCATGAACATGAGATCTTTAAACAATTAAATTTAAATTAAAAAAATTTAAAACCTTCAGCCATGTATCAAGTCTGAAATACCTAAACATTTAGCTGGAATATGGAAGAAGAAAGAAAAGCTTCAGTTGTGTGAAACAGAAGACACTAGGAGGAACTCCAGGAAGCCAGGCGGTTGGTCACCAGAAGAGGGCTTCTAAAGAAACAAGAAAAGAAAGGTATAGCATAGCATAATAGTTTGAGGACTTTTTCTGTCAACTTTGTCAAATTAGATTCACATCCTGGCAGGAGTGAAAATAAAAAGAGACACTTGTGCCCTTTTCTTTAGCTATCAAACTATTGAAACAGTAGTCCGTAAGTCAGAAGAATTTCTCCAGGAATCTCATGCTAGGAGAAGAAAAAGGCTGAAGCCGGTGCCTCCAAAAAAAGGAGGAACGTGGGAAGAGATTTCATGCAGTTCTGACAACTTGTCAGACTACCTTGAAGAGCAGACTGGAGCCAACCACATTTTGATATCTTGACCAGGACTGCTTAAAAACTGCTTAGTTTGTATACCTCTTGGTTTTGTTTTTGTTTAAAAAAAAAAAAAGACAGGGTCTCACTCTCTAACCCAACCTAGGCTAAAACTGAATATGTACCCCAAGCTGGCCTCAAACTCTTGATGCTCCTCCTGCCTCAGCCTCTAGTACTGAGTGTAAGCCACCATATCTGGCTTGCCTTTACTTCTTTTTTTTTTTGTCTTTTTGAGACAGGGTCTCCCTGTAGCCCCAGCTGGCCTGGAACTCACTATGTAGACCAGGCTGGCCTCGAATTCACAGAGATCCACCTGCCTCTGCCTCCCAAGTGCTGGGACTAAAGGCATGTGCCACCACGCCTGGCCTATGGGGGACATTCTTCTTTAAACCCTCATTCCAGACAAAATCCTAGCATGGATGGGGGAGGTGGGCAAGAAGCCCCAGCCCTAGCTGAGAATCTATTGACAATTGATAGCTACTGGGAGAGAGTCAGTTTTCTTTATGGATGTGACACCCAGGTGACCAGACTCCAAAAGACAGACCCACATCCAAGAGCATTTGGGGTTCACAAACCAGACCTGACAGGCCTTTAAAAAGGAAAATAGCCAGGTGTGGTGGTGCACGCCTTTAATCCTAACACTTGGGAGGCAGAGGCAGGCGAATCTCTGTGAGTTCAAGGCCAGCCTGGTCTACATAGTGAGTTCCAGGACAGCTGGGGCTACAGGGAGACCCTTTCTCAAAATGACCAAAAAAAAAAAAAGAAAATAATAGAAGTTGTGAAACTGGAGGGTAGTAGGGTGAGGATGGTTATGGAGAGGAGGTCCAAATGTGATCAAAATACACTGTATGAAATTCTCCTAGAATCAATAAAAAAATTTTTAAGTAGCCCATGCCACATAGGACAGTGATTACTGCTCTCTGATAATCATAGCCATTATAATTTTCCTGGGTTTTATATCTAATGGATGCAGTGAGGCAATAAAAAGAACTGAGTGTTTTTCTAATGTCCACCAATTGCAGCGAGCCTTGACAACTCATTGTAAAACTAAATGAACTCACTTGTTTGCACTCCTTGCCCCAGGTGACTACACTGGGAATTTGTAGGAGCTGGCTCAGACTTCAAAGGAATCAGATGAGGTTTTTTTGTTTTGTTTTTTCAAAGGGAGTAGATTTAGATAAGATTTAAATCAAAGTGAGTTTTGTTTATCCAACTTTACTGATAATGAAGAAGTTCTCAAATCCAACTCTTGGGATGATAAACCCTGAATGATTTTTAGTTATGGATATTACCTAATTCAAGGAGTGTTCATTCCAAGGCTGAGTATCTTCTGTCAAAACCAGGACTGGAGAAAACTGAGGGCCAGATCAGGGAAGTGTCATGAGCCCTCTAATGTCTACACACACCAATTGTAAGGGCCCAATTTTCCCAGCATGTATCTCACTTAGCCCAAGCAGTTCTCATCAGCTTCAAAGGGAGAGATATGCATCCACAGTCCCAAGTTTGCAGTATCTAGGGCTCACTCAGCAGGAATACATACCATAAATTATGGTATCAGCCTTCATTTTTTTGTTAGACAAATCAACCCAGCTGGAATTAGAACCTTTAGTTCTGGGAAATAATCAACTGTCCCTTATAATAGCAAATCCACTTGGCTTTTATTTCATATATGAATCCTGTTGCTTACTTAGGGATAAACCATAGTTTAGGTTTATAGATTAATAGGTAAAACATGCAATATACTTGTCCAATATACTACCATATGGTTTTTTAGTATAGAATCACTGAAATTTATTTTAGAGGTAATTTTATGCTTAGCAAAGAGAGAAGCTGGAGATATAATTTCATGTTTGCTGCTCAACAATTGATATAATTTCTGGGGGCTGGAGAGATGGCTCAACAGTTAAGAGTACTTGCTACCCTTGCAGAAGACCTGAGTTCAGTTCCCATAATCTACATGGTATCTCATAACTGTCTGCAACTCTAGTACCAGGGAATCCACCACCCTCTTCTGGCCTCTATAAGCATCAAGCATGCAGGTGATGCATATACATACATGCAAGCAAAACACTCATGCACATAAAATAAAAATAAATCTTTATATATTTCTGTTTACAAGTAGTGTTTTTAAGCTTTAATTTGATACTTTACGACCAGGTAAATTATCTTTTAATGTAATTACTTTTATGTAATAATTATGATCTTGAAAGTCTGCAAAGTGATTAAAGGGCATTTTCTAAGAAGTAGATTTCTGGATTTAAATTATGCAGTCCTTCTGCTTATGGTTTTAGTGTTACACCTAATTTATTATTATCATTATTATTACTATTATTAAATATTTATGAAATGTCATTTATAGTTAGACCTTTACAAATATCTAAGCCTTTAAAAGGTCTAAAATGTTTCTAATCAGATTTCAAAACTTGACACAAGCTCTCTTTCGCCTTTTTTTCTCCTGCTCCCCCTCTCTCAGCATTTATTAGTTTTGACTCACTCTAGTATATTCTACACATCAGCACCTGTGCCCATTTAGCAAAGAATTTCAGTACAAATCACTCTGAATTGAATAGACATCTCTAAGAAGCATTACAATTGTTGCAATATTTTTAGAAACTGAAACAAGGAAATAAACAACTTCAGTAAAAGTGATTTAAATAACAAATAACGTATCTTTATAAACAGCTTATCTCCTTGAGAACAAAGAATAAACAAGGAGACAAGGTTTTTTTTCTTCCACTATTAAAGCAGATCACAATATGAATGGGTGAAATGTCATGAATAATTGGAGAAAATCACAGAGTAATCTTCCACAAAAACATCTGATTTATTTAAATTGTCACTGTTTGTCTTATTAGAACCTTTATTTAACCTTGTTATTCACAATGCAGTATTCAAGTTGGTTTATCAAAAATTTACTTTGAAACTAACCACATTTTGGAAAATTTGACTTTCTTAAATGCAAGCTATGGTAATATGAACCATATGGAAGTGATTTTAAGATCTCATTAACTGGCACTGCATTCCATTGAAAAGCCTATGTAAAAACTAATGTTTTGAACCTAAAATGATGGTAAATAAATCAAGATATTTGGGCATTCTATCCCATTTAATCTCAGGTTCCTACTGTTCAAGAAAGCAGCATTCTATTCCACTGTTGATTCATGTAGGTGCGTTAGTCACTGTCTTCTACTTACGATCCCACTAAATTTCACTAACATCAACTCACTATCACAGCAGCCCAGGCCTCAGTTTGTGATTTTTCAAAACTATATTCTTCATATAAATAAGCCCATTTCTTGTTGACTTCTATACAGATACCCAGTGTCTGACACTGTTCCAAATGCTTTGTAAGTAATAACTCTTTCAACACCCTGTTAGGTACAGTTAGCATCTCCATTGTTCATTTATGTATTCATTTAATTTTGGGTAAGTGTGTGTGCACACATGCACATCTGCATGTAGAGGCCAAAGTCAATACTGGGTATTGTCTTTTCTTAACATTTATTTGGAGGAGGTTCAGAAATAAACTCTGAGGTCCCAGAACCCCATCAATACCA